GTCTATCTATCTATCTATCTGTCTATCTATCTGTCTATCTATCTATCTATCTGTCTATCTATCTATCTATCTATCTATCTATCTATCTATCTCTATCTCTCTCTCTCTTCTTTTGTAATTTTATTTAAACAAATAAAAAATTAAACAAAAATTATAAAAATAGTGAATTTTAATTAATCAATAATTAACGATGTTTCGTTTTATTTATATTCATTCAAAGATTTAAGACAAAAAAAACATTTAAAGATGTTTTTGTAGAAATTGAAAATCAATAAGAATAAATCATTATCATTTTTATATTATAAAATCATCAGAGTATTTCATTACTATAATATTATATATTATTATAAAAGTATTCAAACATTACGTTTTTTTTACAAGGAAATTTAAAAATAAATTTTGAAAAATTTAATTTTAATAAAAATTTTTATATATACGGAGCAATTTATTTTTCGATAAAAAATCTTAAATGTATGAAATCCATTTCATACTCAAATTTTTATCTATTTTTTTATACATTTTATATTTCAATTTCAATTAAAAAAAATTTCAATTTCAATTAAAAATCTATTTTTTTATACATTTTATATTTCAATTTCAATTAAAAAAAATTTCAATTTCAATTAAAAATCTATTTTTTTATACATTTTATATTTCAATTTCAATTAAAAAAAATTTCAATTTCAATTAAAAATCTATTTTTTTATACATTTTATATTTCAATTTCAATTAAAAAAAATTTCAATTTCAATTAAAAATATTTTTTATAATATAATAATAAAATAAAATTAGAGTTAAAATTTGAATATTTTATTTTATAGTTTAATATTTTATCATTGATATTTTTTTATTTTTTATAATCATTATGAAGTTTTTATTTTTAAAAAATGAAAATAATACTGAAATTTTAATTTTCGGGTTGATTTTGTCATCCCTTCAGTGAAACGATATTAATAATACTGATAAAGAAATTGCTCTATATATTATTCCATTATTTCATCATGTTCACAATATTTTGTATCAAAACAGAATTATTTATAATTTTGATGACACAATTTATTACAGTTGAATTTGCATAAAGTATACGAATATTCTTACTTATAATTGTATATACATATTTATAATTATATTTAATAAATAGATATAATAAGACAAATAATAGAATAATAAGTAAAAGAATAATCGAGTATTTTCATCTTTTACAGACAATGACTGTAGATTCCGCAGCGACGACGATGTTTAATTCAGCGGCATATTTTAGCGAAGATCCTGCGGCTGATCGTCTATTCGTCGTGACTAATCCTTGACCATTGTACATTCGTTATGAATATTTTATCATTGTTTTTGCGACAAAGAAATTTTTGGGTGAAGTTTTAGCGAAAAAGAATTTACTACGTGTTACAGTAGGTGAACCTTTGGCTTCTTGTATATTTGAAATTATGATATGTATTAATAATAATGTATGATAATTCATTTGATATTATTATTAACACATTATATACGTATATATACATAAATGATTATAATATCTATGATTCGGTATCGTATTTCGTGGAATATCGATTATCTTTATTATAGTTATCATCATCATCGTTAGGTATGTATAAGTTAGGTATTTTTATAAAAATTTAATTATTTCTATTTGATTTTTATTAATATCGATATATACTTACCTACGATGTATTGAGATACGACAACACGAATTACGATATCGTTAATATAATCATCAAATTGTTCCTAGGCGAACGAGTGGTAAATCGATAATTCTTGCAATTATACAATAATAATATGTGCAGTTTGCAAGATGGAACAGATCGATCGTTTTAATCTTTTTTTTTTATTAATATTTTCTTTTCCGTTTCTTTATCTTTTATGTAAGTATGTATGTACATACAAATATGTAAAGTTTGAAATGCATAAGCTCAAGAGAAGAAGCAAGTTGGAACATCTTGTAACATACCTGTGATTTTTCGCAATTTTAAAAATCATAAATAATTATGCTGTATATGTACAGTTTATCTCAATTTCAATAATACAAATTTCTGCAAGATTTGTAATCGAAAGTTGGAATCGTTAGAACATTTGACATTTTAACATGTAGACAATGTTATGTATCAAAGAAAAACGCGTTAAATAATATTAAAAGCAGCTGTGCTGCTTGAATTTTTAAATATAGAAAACATACACGGTCTCCGTATTTTTTATTTTATAGACTTATAGATGTGTACGCATATAATATTTCGACTCTATGAGACGGAATCAAAAACATCGAAAGAAGGCGCGGCGCGGTGCGGCGCGGCGCGGCGCGTTCCAGTCAGGACAAATTTAGAAATGGACAATCTGAAATCCAACGTATATTAATAAGAACGAATAGTCGTTGAACGAAAAATTTTCTATTCTTTCTTCGACGAATTATACGATCGCTCGCATAGTTTTATAGTAAGTAGTCACGTATAGTTATATATATATATATTACATTTTGATTACACGCTGATAACAATCGTTACAATGATCTTTACGGAAACATGATTGTTTTAGAATATTTTTTACGAGAGAGTTTTCTGTTCCGTGATCTTCTTCATTCACGAACGATCGATTTTACGCATAATAATAATTATAATAAATGAAAGAAAAGCTTGGATAGAATGTCGTATTTACTTTTATATAATATATATATATATATATATATATGGTTTATCTGTTGTGAATAATTATATAAAAAAATAGATTAATACCATACTATGTGAGATTCGAACAGATATCGATAAGTTATGTTGTAGTAATATAAAAAATGTAGTAAATTTTCAGGAAAGATTCATCGATCGGTATGAAGATTCATCATTGGTGATGTACGAATTTAAAAGAAGGACGAATATGTACGTTGAATTTATATTTCTGTTTGTTAAAGTTAATCAGTCGTGGAATATTATATAGTATATCGCATTATTGATCTCTTCGACAATAGTAACCAAGAGTTTTACATTTTTGACAGAGATGTTGCGGATGGACCTTACTTTGGTCGGACACATCCAATCCGTCTGGTTTCTCTAATGGTCTCTGAAAACACGTAGTAAAATGTAACGAGATTACGTAATTACGCAATCATGTTGGCGTGCAATGAAAATGCGGTAAATTTGTGATTACTCGTTGCCAGATTGGGACAAACAATTCTAATACGAATTTGATGCAATAACAGATTATTAGCAATCAAAGGTATTTATGTATTTTGATAGTTTTGCATTTCTGAATTTGTTAGAGTTGAAGAAATAATATATATAATATACATATATAATATATATATCTAATATATATATATATATATATTTTGTTCTCTCTTTTGGTAAAGTTTTTTAACTCGAATAACGTTTGTCGAAAGTATATTTTAACGAGAATAAACTTTTGATAAATGTAAATTTTTACTCACTTGTTTATGAGGATAGACGTTTATATGACATTTAATACATTCCTGGCCCATATTGGCCCAGCTATTACCCGACATCCATTTGCGTTTGCATTTGGGACATTTGTATTCTCCGAAGCATCGTTTTTTTCCTTGATACGGTGTTAAACCCTCACCCTTTGGTCTTGCCTGGAATCGATCGTTATAACATTTATTGTTATTGATCTTATTTTTATGTTTTTAAGTTTTTATTGGCTTTTGGATATTGTATCGTGTCCACTTTCTCTTTTTTTTTAACGTTCAAAATTAACAATAATTCAATAGTAGTAATAATAGCAATAGCATAGCGTTTTAGGCGCGTATACAAGAAAGACTCGAAATACTGGATGACACATTTCACGAGATATTCACGAACGTTGTTATTCGGATCGGTCTAAAAATAATGCACGTCTATGCAAAGGTAATATCCTCGGTAATTTTCTACTTTAAACTTTATCGACAAGATGAAAAGAAGATTTTGAAAAGCACACCTGCGGACAATCTTTGATATAATGACCTTTCTTGAAACACAGATGACAGAGGTAATTAGGTGGTGGCCTTTTCGTTGGTTTTCTATCTAATAGACCCAATTCTCTGAAACGATCTGCAAGTTCGTTGATATTGTCCGCAAAATTGCCACTTATAGCGCAAGAAGGATCGAGTGTATCACGATGAGAATGAGTTTGTGACGTCGTTGTTGAAAAACCGCTCCAGATTGTCGGAACAAGTTTGTTCTAAAATATATTATAAATCGATAATCGTTCGATTAATTATCGTTAAAACGTTATTTTATCTTGTTTTTATATCGATAGTAAAAGAAAAATCGTACAAATTTTTTAATCGAAAAACAAATATTTTTAGAGAAAGAGAGAGATTTGAGAACCTGATCTCGCGGTTGAGCAGAATTTTGATCGGCGATTGCTAGATAGACCCAATTGAGCAAATGGGGCGGATAATGTGGTTGGTGAAGAGGTTTCCGACCTTGGCTACCGAGAGCGTTCATAGATCCAAGGCCGAACTGAGACGATTCCTGTGGTTGCAAATGTTGAATCGCCGGTGTTGGATGGCAAGCGGCCATAATCAGAAATTTACCGTCCTCCCACGTGTTTTTCAAATTTAATCCTCATCTTTTCCATGCTTGAGAAAATGTGATAATTGCTTGTTGGATATATTTGGGAAATGATATTACTATCGCTCATTTTTACACCTCGAGTATATTTACGAAATCACTGAAATGAAACGAGAAACGTTCTCGATGCACTTATCGGTAACTGACTAACTATTTCGTTTAAAAATACGAATTCACCCAGCAACCGCCAGTTGTTTCTCAAGATTAATTTAAGACCTAAGGCACTGAGATACACGATGATCATTTGATCATTAGATCATTGCAGGATTTGCATGGATTCTTGCTTTTCGTTCTACGATACGCTTTTTTGCCTGCTGCCGAGTAACATGTCAACAAGTAACATGTTTTTTCAGACAATGTATTCGTATGGATGCACATTACAATAATGCAACGTCGAATTGGCAACGTTTCCATTCGAAACTTCACTTCGAACTGTCTTCTGCGTTTCGATATTTTCATGAAATATGTAACATCACGCCACGTATAATTGTTTTACGTGATAGGTTCATTTAATTTTACGTGTTTTTTTTTTTTTTTTTTTTCGAATTTACCTCTATGCGCGCTTTTATTTACGCGTTGTCGTAACAAAAAGTTATTCGTTGAACGTTGAAGCGTTTGGAAATCTCAAGGTGAAATATTTTTCGTGAAAATGATATCAGATTCCTAGATTATTTTATATTATTTTTTCTTCTTCTTCTTTTCTTTATTATTCTCACGATTGGTTTCACGATTATATCTCTTGCAAGATTTCAAATCATTCCTTTTCAATTCATTGAAAAAATATTTATCTTGTTATATGCGAACTTTGACTATCCTTTTATGCATTTTTTGTGAATGATGGAGGATGGAGATACCGATAACGATGGCGATGATGATGGAGCGGTATTGGTTCCGATCGGGTTGCTCTATCCTTACGCTTCTTCTTTCGTCTCGAACAGAATGAATTTTATCCGGATGGAAATTAAAAATTGGTCGGCGTTGACAATAAATCAACAACGATACGTGTCGCCGCGCGGTAAGTATCGATGTTAATGTACGATTTCACAGAAAATGTATTTCCGGAGTCGACAACTGCGTTCGTTCGCGAAGGGTCTGTCTCTAGTCTGAACATCGACAATGTTCCACGATCCGCGTATACGTAAAAACGCATACACATGAATCTAACATCAGCGTTAAAGAGACCCCCGCCATGTGGTGCAGCTATTTCAGTGCTTGCTATCTATCGAACAGCTTGCCACCGAGTACGAGTACGAGTATTGCTCGGACTTTGCCTTCAACATCTTTACTTATGGCAAAGATTCTCGCTTCCAGCTTCAAGCCCAGCGAAACAAGCCCTTCCTGTTGACGATCAACACGGTCAAAATTTCTCCTCCTTATAAATATACCGCTTTTTCAACAGAATGGAAATTAGGTAATTAGAGAATTTATCCTCGAATTAAATTTCAATTTCTTCGTTTCTTAATATTAAACGATCAAGATATATTTATCACACATTTTTTTTCTTTGTAGATGAAATTTTCATCAATGTTTAACATCGATCATCGCATTATTATTTATCTAAATTTTGAATCTTAAACGATGAATTTTAATATTTTCAATCCTATCTACGATTTATGATATAACTATGTCGTGAAATAGATTTAATTTTCAATAGAATTCGAAATCGTGAACTCGATAACTTGATCAAAATTTTATCGTTGTATCACGTAAGTATTAAATACATATAATTACTTTTTAATCTTCCGTGTAGATAGTCGACAATTAAAATAAATTTTGCGAAATTTATTTTATATATAATATATGATATATAAATATTCTTCCTTGATCTTTGTTTTATCATTTTATTTTTTTTTTACTTTTCGTTATTTCGCTATATTTGACATTATTGACATTCGCACATATGTACGAATCATGATCGATTAACCTTATCCTTGTTTTTCAGATTGAAGATACTATTTGCTATCGAAGTCGATATCGAAATATATCGAAGGAACATACGGTAAATCGTATAAGTAAGTAACGATCCATATGATGTGAGTAAATACATACGTATCGCAAAAAATTATGTAGAATAAATTCTAAATCTTTGAAATTTGATAGAAAACGGCTGTGTTCCACCGAGGAAAAAAATTATAAAAAAGGAAGAGAAAAATCGAAATAAAATTAGAGAAGACGTGATTTTTAAGCGTGAGACAGGATGGATAAATACGAGATGATAGAAATCGTAGGAGAGGGAAGTTATGGCATAGTGATGAAATGTAAGCATCGCGAGAGCGGGCAATTTGTAGCCATTAAGAGATTTCTCGAAACCGAGGAAGATTACGACGTGCGAATAATGGCATTTCGAGAAATCCGAATGTTGAAAGTATGTCATATGTATTCCCTTTCTCTCTCTCTCTCTCTCTCTCTCTCTCTCTCTCTCTCTCTCTTCTCCTTCCTTCCTTCCATTTCCTCACATTAGTTGTCCTCTTATGAGAATAAGGAGCATATTTACAGAAATTACGCCACGATAATCTGGTAAATATGATCGAAGTGTTTCGTCGAAAGAAACGATTTTATCTCGTATTCGAATATTTGGATCATACTTTACTGAACGAATTGGAAAATGTCGGAAGAAACGGTCTAGGTTTGGAAATATCCAAGCGATATATCTATCAAATCCTTCGTGGATTGGATTTTTGTCATAGTAGTAACGTAAGTATAATCGAGAAATGTGCAAAAAAAAAAAAAAAAAAAAAAAAAAAAAAAAAAAAAAAAAAAAAAAAAGAAAAAATACACGAATATATCTGAGCGTATAATTGTCGCTTAAGTCTTTCGATTTAAGAGAACGTTTGGAAAAAAGATCGATCTTGAAGAATTGCAACGATTCCGATCGATGGTTATTTTTTCATTTTATCGATAGATAATGCATCGTGATATCAAGCCAGAAAATATCCTTATATCTCCGAACGGAGTGGTGAAGCTTTGCGATTTTGGATTTGCACGTTTTGTAAATAGTCCCAATGAATCTTGCACGGATTACGTGGCGACAAGATGGTATCGTGCCCCGGAATTGTTAGTCGGTGATCCTCGATACGGCAGACCGATAGACATTTGGGCGGTAGGCTGTTTGTACGCGGAAATGATGGTCGGGAATCCTTTGTTTCCTGGCAAGAGCGACGTAGATCAGCTTTATCGAATAACCAAAATACTTGGTAATTTTTCTTAACTTATCTTTTTATCTTTACCATGTTAATTGTTACGCGCAAAAAAGAGAGAAAGAATGAAAAAAAAAAAA